CAGAGCCCAGGGCTCGCTCTGCACCAGCAAAGAGGGGCTGAGCTCTGCTCCCATCCCTCCTCTGCAGCTGGCAGGAGTGCTGAGCAGCCAGGGGGACTGCAGGGGAGTTTATTCTACACTCACCAAAGTGGAATTACCGCAGAACCATCACAGGATGGTTTGGGTTGGAGCCTTAAAACGCATTCAGTGCCACCCATGCCATGGCAGGGACACCTTCCACTGTCCCAGGGTGCTCCAAGCCCCAGCCTGGCCTGGGACGTATCCAGGGGCAGCTGCTCTGTGTCAGGACCTCAGCACACTCACAGCAATGCAGAATAAAACACAATTCACTCTCTTGTTCTTGGTCTCTAAGGAATCTGGAACCAGGATGATGGAGGTCCCTGCCATGCAAGGAGATGTAGGGATTGTAAATCCTAGTTTTCCAGAATGGGTTTTAAATCTGGTTATATGTTTCTTTTAAATGATTTGAAAATAGGCTTAAAGATTTCCTGTGTCACTGGTTTAAATAAGATCCTACAGCAGTAAATCCTGTTCCTTTTTAAGCACTTGATATTGCAGTCAGAAACCTTCATTCATATGTGAAATGCAACCTGCATGGAAAAAAAATTCTTTCACTAAGATGATGAAAAGTAGAATTACTTTACTCAGTATTTTTGGCTCCGCACAAGAAGGAAAGGTTGCTTGGTAAATAAAGGCTCATGTATCTGATTAGCAGCAAAATACAGCTGATGCCTACACTAATATTGACCCAATCAATCCAATTTAACACTGGAATCCGACTGTGAGGAGAGCCACTGAAATATCTGCATGCTAACAAGTGGGGTCAGGAACCTGTGCTGGGGCACAGTCAAAACTGCAGGAATGGTTTGGTTTGGGTTTAGTTTACACGGGAGGCTCAGGAGAAAGTCACTGAGGGCTCACACAAATATCCACAAAACTTCTCAGTCCCTCTGCTGAAAACAGTAAAAGTTGTTCCTAACACAGTGTTGGTTGAAATGGAAGCAGATCCCTGACCCCATCCCTCTCTCAGAACTGTGTGAGGAATTAGGAGTGAAAAAGAGGAGAAGCAGAGAGAATCCCTTTCTCATGGTGCTCTTCTCCAGATCTATGCTGAATAATGAAACTTTATAATAAAACATCAGGTGAATCTGCCCGAAAGTTTTGGAACTGGCCTGACATAATTGCTTCTTTTAACTGCATTTTGAATGGCAAATAAATCATGATTCCAAGCTCTGCCTCTGCCAGGCTGAATTCTGGGGGAACGAGGCTGCAGCATCCCTGCGGCCCCTCTGCCAAGCTCCTGCAGAGCGTGTGGAGCAGGATCTCTCAGAGTGCAGTCACACAAACACAACATCTGTGCAGGTCAGCGAGGGGAGAGGGAATTTGACACAGTCAGGAGAGAAATCCATCAAATCAGACAAGCCGGGGGTTGTGACGTACCATTGACTAAGCTGGCATTTGCATTATCAGTGGCATTTGCACCTGCTGCACCATCTGTGGCTGGAGGAGGGTGGGAGGAGGGATGGGAAGAATCTACTGAGCAATAATGGATAAAAAAAAAATAAAATAAACAAAAAGCCACAAAAACAAAACAGCAAATAATAAATAAATAATAAATAGATAATAAATAAATAATAAATAAAAATAACAGCAATGTGAACGAATACATGTGACAGAGTGAAAAGCCTTCGTGGCTTTGTTTGCTCCCAAAATCAAAGAGTTTGAAATTAATTAACACAAATTTCCAAAGCAATGTGGCATTGGGAAGGTGTCACAAAGTCAGCTGAAAATTCAAATAATAATAACAGCAACAATAATAATAACAAAAGATAAGTAAATATGAAACACATTTAGCAAAGTTAAAGGAGTCAGTGAGAACAGAATGTACACAGTCTTGTGTGCATTGCTTTAGTCCTTTTATGTCTTATTTTTTGTACTTTTATGTAATTTATGCATTTTTAAAGTGGTTGAAATGTTTCCTTTGGAGTTAATTTACACAGTGCTTGTGTAGCTTTAAAATTTGCATTTTAAAATGTATTATATCTATATCTGAACATACTTCTGCATGGGGCAATGGTACATATTTTATGTTTTAAATAATTTTGCACATTATGATTTATCATCACTGATGCAGCACAGTCTAACAGGGCTCAACCCATGTCTGCCATCACCCAGGTAAAATGCTTATTTATCTGAGTAGAAACATGGAATTTTCTTATATTTTATGTGGAAAAGGCAAATAGAGTCTTGAGGAGAATAATGGATTATTTTAAATCCAGATAATGGACATGAGACATTTCCTGGTTTGTGATGACATGAATGAAGAATCAGAAAAGAAAACCTCTTATTCTTTTCAGTTATTATCCACATATTAGAGAAAATTGGACAAAAAAATCTTTCCTAACAGGAAGGTGAAAAGCTTAAAGAAGGTTTTATCATTTTACTGTGTTTTTTATAGTGAAGTTCAATAAAATTAGTCTCTGCAAACAATAGATAGAATTTATTTTGTTTTGTTTCTGGTGGTTAACTGCCCACAACAGAACGAAGTCCTCCCATGGATCCTGACTGAGGCTCTCAAACTGCTCCAGTCCTTGCCCCACAGGGATTATTTTGTGCTGTACTGGGCTGGTACTGCAGAAGAATGGGCTGATTTTATTTACAAATGGCAAATTGGGAGAAGCAAATAAACAGCTCCCGGGATTTAAAAACACACCCCTGTGCAACTGCATTCAGGAAAATTTCAATTGCAAATTTGATTACTGTGGTGGCAACGACTTAAACTGTTTTGGTGACTCGTGTTTGCTCTTTATTCCGTTTGGATCCCCACCCCAACCAGCACAGCGTGAGCTGCTAACAGCAAATCAAGTATTCCACATTAAATACTTTGCAATTTACTTCTGGAGAACAGCTGATTATTCCAGCTGAACGGGAAGATTTGCAACACCAACAATGCCTGCACACCAAAAGATTTGGCACCAGCAATCTTGTTGATTCGAAATCACTTTATAATTTCAACTTGACTGATTCAAAGATGATTATTTCAATCAGCAGTTCCCCCCTGATTTGCATCTTTGGATGGGGTACAGTTCTTACTCTACCTGGAAGCTGCTGTTCCTCCTCCTGTTTCACACCTGCATGGTGATTTTTAAAGTGTTAATGAACAATAAAAGCACACACCCACAGGGACTGAAAGGGGCAGGATTTCTGAGAACTGCAGGTTTATGTTCCAGAGGTTTTAGTTCGAGCTGGTGCTTCCATCTGCCACCAGCTCTGCCCAGGCATGAGCACAATGCTGCATCAGAGAATGTGGAGGAATTCTCTGTGTTATGGATTCTTTATATTATAGCTGTTTCTACAGAGCCATGTTCAATTAAATTCTGTGTGTGCACCCAAATTCCAACACACCTCTGTAAGAATCTCTGTCTCTGGGTAAGTTACAGCCACGATGTAGATAAAACTCCCTGATTTCTTTTTTCCTGCCTTTCCAGGCTCTTCCCTGTGAAACCTGAGGGTCCTGAGCCGAGCCTAGGGAGGCCAGCCCAGTTAAACCCAGCGCAGGGAGCTCTCCCATCACACAGAGGTGAAGCTGCTCCTCCTCTCCTCCAGACCACACAAAGGCTCTGAACAACAGCAAGAACAAACTCCAAGGTGCTGCTCAAAACTGGTCTGGCATAAAAGAGTTTTGCTTTGTGACATTTCAGTCTTTTCTCCTTTTAATTCTCCTGGAGCCCCCCATGCCTGATGTGCATTTCTGTGCAGAAATGAAATGGTAAATATTTCATTTAGTAAAAAAGGATTTCCTCAAAGCAGCAGAGAGTCAAAGGCAGACACTTGTTGAACATACTCAGAAATGGAAATTGTAGGTCCTGAAAACCATTTGAATTTGGCCCTTCCTATCTCCAGCTTCATATAAAATGATGGAAATAAAAAAAAAAAGGTGGAAGCATATTGCCTCAAAGATAGCAAATAAAATGTTCAGTAAAATTTTAACTGCCTTTTTAAAATTAATAGTGAACACCACTAGAAAGAGCAGAAATGTCTGAAGAACCTGTATGCAGCTTCATATAAAATGATGGAAACCAAAAAAAAAGGTGGAAGCATATTGCCTGAAAGATAGCAAATAAAATGTTCGGTAAAATTTTAACTGCTTTTTTAAATTAATAGTGAACACCACTAGAAAGAGCAGAAATGTCTGAAGAACCTGTATTAATTGGCCCTTAATCATGTCTGAAAGACAACTATTCTTAGGACAGACTTGGAACGAAATTGTGGAAGCAGAACAATTTACAAGACCGTGTGAAGAAAAACTGGCAAGGACAGACATTAAATCATGTTTCTGCTTAGTGTGCAGCCCATAAATTAGCAAATGCTTATGACATCACACTGTAATAAGGTGAAAAGCCCAAAGAGGCTTCTTGATTTCATTAACTGATGCAGGACATGAAAGTAAAACTGTCTGCTAACATTTACTGCTACATTCTTGGCTTTTACTATTCTTAGCTCGACCTTTACACCTGAAGACATTAAAATGCCTCTCAAGTCAGCCACTGACATTAAACAATCCAGGCTAGCAAAGAGCCACAGCTTATCTTTATATTAGTCCTGAAGCTCCAAGACAGATGCCATTTCCATGGCCAAAGGGTTTTTTCCCTGCGGAAAAATATTGAATTGATAGAAAAGCACAAAATCTTAGCAAACTGTAGGTGAGCATGGATTCATGTAGAGAAGCCACAGCAACTGGAGCATGCCCAGGTATTCCCTTGCATTTCAGTATGGACTGGGAGCCTGCAGCTTCACACTGGAAAAACATCTTGTTATCCAATGGATTTATTGGTTAACAGCTTCTGCTGTTTTTCTGTGTGACATGTGATGATAAAAATGTGTCATAAAAAAAAAAAGGCAGTTTGAAAAATCACATTTATTTGTCAAGAGCGAGGAGAGCTCTGGCTGCACAAAGCCCAGGAGCTTTCTCTGGAGCATCCTGGTGTTGGGAGATTTACCTTTCTTGTCTTTCTTCTCCTCCTCTTCTCCCCCAGCTCCCAGCAGAGTGAAGATGATGCCAGTCTGAGAATTCACCCCCACAGCAGTCACCAGCATCCGCCCAGAGCCTTCCATGACATGGGTGCCTGAAAAGAGGCAAGACAGCTTACAGAGAGCTAAACTAAGTGTAAGAAAATTATGCAAGGCCTTTCTGAAGGTACAGAGAGAGATTTGTCACACTTTATAAACCTATATTTAGGGGGATATTCCCACATAACCAAAATAAACCTTGTTCTTCTGAACCAAGAATTAATGCTTAAGCACAAACCTCAGGCTGCACATCCATCACCATCAGATTCTCTTTTTAAAAGAAATGCTATCACTAATGAAGTTTATCCTCTGCAAGAAAACAGTTTCAGCAGGACATCACAAATACACAAATTAGGTAAAAAAAAATAAACCAAAATAAATTCCATTCAAACCTAAAGACCAGAAAACATCTTTAAAAGCCAGCAGAGACTTGGTTGGTTCAGTTGGAAAGGAAAAACGCTGCAACCTTCCTCGGAAATGTATCAGAGCCTCCATTAAGATGTGTCACTATTTCCAAATACCGTTTAATTAAGAACTTGCTATTTGTATCCCTGTGTTTTGTTCTGAGGGAATCTTCTCCTGAACTGGATGACAAAGGTGGATAAAAATATCCTCCAAAAAGAGCCATTGGCTCCTAGGCTCCCAGAGCAGCTTTGGCAGGAAAACAGGCACCCAGCAGAGCCCAGCCTGAGCTCTGCACCCCTGGAGATGGCAGAGCAGCAGGCAGAGGGGATGGGATGGGGTGTGGGGGTATCATTTGTTGGTTTCTCTGGGTCTGGATTGAAGGCACTCCAGACAGTAGTTCATGTTGGGATGAGGTATTTATTATTTCTTATCAGTAGAACAGTCTCACTGCTGTGAGTTCAGCAGCTTTTCATTAGAAGGCACAAAATGGTCAACAATCCCTTGGTACAAGGTCTTTTAAGACTAAACTATCCAATTAAGAGCTGACACCTGGATTATTTTCCCTTTTAACCCAATAACTGATCCCAAAGAGCTGCAATGTGACTTTTCTGCCCAATTACAAAATGCCACCCAAACCCATGGAGAAGAAGGAAGAAGAAGCATGAAGAAGAAACCCAGGACAACACCCTGTGCCCTCCATCCAGCTCCCATCCACAACATACTAAAAATCCCAAAATCTCAATTTCTCACCAAGTGATACACCCACACCACTATCTATAATCCATTTCACACTTTTGTGGATTCCAGTCTATCCTGAAGTCTAGGAAACGTTCTCCCTGAATGAGGTTCAAAGTCAGTGCTGCCCCGGGGGTCAGGGCACCCCAGAGCAGACAGAGAAATATTCCCAGTGCCCTGGGCTTCCACAATGGGACAGATCTTACCTGACAGCAGCATTGGGTCTTTGTCCACGGATTTGCGGACCTGGTCGGACTCTCCAGTCAAGGAGCTCTCGTCGATTTTGAGATCATTTCCTTGAATAAATATCCCATCAGCAGGTAGAAGGTCACCTGTGGTCAGAACAGGGCAATGGAAAACCTCCATGAGACTGCTTTTATAATTGCACAATGATTTTTGTTATAAAATCACAATTAATTGCATGAAAAGGTGAAATGAAAGGAGAAGGGAAGGAATTACTCCTGATTCTGTCCACACGAGCCACAGCACTGCAATCCAGCCAGGAAATGCCTTTTATTGTAAACATGTTCTGCTTCATGCTGTCCCAGAATCCAAATGTATCACATTTAACTCACAATGAATATCTCCATCATGGGGCTTTGGCAGGGAAGTGCTCCTCACATCACCTGGAGGTTTCTCCATCAGACTTCATAGGAATTAACTCCAGCTAATTAACAGCTGAGCTGCCCTTTCCCCTTCCCCCCTTCAGGGAGCCCTTAGGTAAGTCCAGGAGAAATGTGATGGCTGATGGAAGGGGGATATTGCTGGAATTAACAACTCCCTCCAGGGCACACAGAGTTCCTGCAGGAGCCTTTCACTCCACTGGAGCACAGGGCTTTCCCTATGGCATGGAATTAGCAGGCACCTGACCCGAGGGATCAGTCTGAATTTGAAGCAACTCAACCTTTAAGGATCATAGAGGTCCAATTCCCTTCTACACAACATTTAAAAGCATGTTCTCTTGCCCCTAACTGGACAGAAATAAAAATAAATTAATCTGAATAATGTAATCCTCCATGACAGAGAATTACCTTTGTATGAACAAATACAGAAAACTGGAAGGACAAACACAGAAAGCTGGAAGGAACTGGAAAACTGACCAGTCCTTGTCCTGGTCAGTGAAAGCAGTTTACACCAATTCAATTGATTTTTTTGTGCAGCTTTACAGCAGATCTTCACATTCTCCTTTTGCCCTGACAGCTCAGGTGTCACCTCAGCATGGCCAATACTGATTTTCTGCCATATAAACCTGCCCTAACCCTGCCAGGCAAGCCTGCCCATGCTGCTGGGAAGGGCAGCAGAGCACACCAAGGCTCCAAAGGCCGTGCACTCACCATATTTGACCTGTGCAATGTCCCCAACCACGATCTCTGCCACGGGGATCTGGATGACCTGTCCCCCTCGCACCACGGTGAACTTCTGCTCCTGCTCGATGCGGCTCTGGAGGCCGCGGAACTGCTTCTCCTTGCTCCAGTCGTTGAAGGCAGTGACCAGGACAACGCAGATGACAGACAGGAGGATGGCAGCACCTTCAATCCAGCCAGCTTCGGCCTCCCCCTCATCCTCAGCTCCTCCTGTTGCAGTCCCGCACCCTGCAGAGATGTTAAGGATCGGTTTAGGGAAGGTCGGGCATACCACAAGAATTGAAATTTGCTGTGACGTGACAAGGTGAGGGGATGGAGCTGCTTTTCCAAGCACTGCCTGCTAATGAAACATGGCAGAGTGAAGGAAAAGAGCAAATAATATTTTATTTTTTTTCTGTGAAAAAGAGGAAGGAAATAAATCGACAGAAATCTTAGTCCTTTTAATTTTTCTACTGAGCAACCCATCCTTGGTGAACCCAGACTAAACAGATGGAAGGAGAAAGCACCAATTCTGTTATGTGATAGAGGACTCAGAGCTTCACCTGAGCCACCAAAACCTGCAGGATAAGAATAAGAATAAAAGAATAAGAATAATACTGAAGAATAAGAATAAGAATAATACTGAAGAATAAGAATACTACTGAAGAATAAGAATAATACTGAAGGTGACAGGAAGGGCTAAAACAATGAATGACATTAAATAATGCAAAGCAATGGCATTAAATTCACATTAACACACGGCCAGATTAAATTAAACAATTTTAACACCATTTTTTTAAACAATTTTCGACACAATTTCTAACTGTTCTGAACTAAACACACTTACAGGGAGCACTTGTTGAAAAAACACTGGGGTCAACTGAGTTTATCAGCATTTCAATTTGATAATTAATGTATTAAGGAACACTGAGTAAAAACAATTCCCTGATATTAATTCATCAGTCTTTCCTGCAGAGAAATGCAGTGGGATGCTTCTAGAACTGCAAGTACATTATTGCTGCCAAAAGCAAAACAGCATTAAGAGAACCACTCTGTTCTGAACTGTTAATTCTGAATTACTTTATATACATCTGCTAATTATTTATTTCAAAGTTGGATGCAATTAAATTTAAATAGATAATAATCGCCAAAGGAAAGTGCCATAGCTCTCCTTACTGAAAAAGCACCTGGGAGGAATCCTGGACAGCCAAGGGCACATTCCAGAGAAATCCCAACTGGTGGGAGAGAGGAGAACTCAGCCTGGCCTGCAGAGCCTCCTCTCCCGGGGGACCTGGGAAGAATTGCTCCCATTTTCCATGAAGGATGGGACCAGGCAGGAATTTGACACCACTTCTCCACCTCACCCAGGTACCAGGGTGTTCAGCAACTTTGCTTCCACCTCTGACTGAAGTTTAATTTGGTTTATTCATCACCTCTCGCTAGAGAGAATTAACAGCCAGGTTGATTTCTGTTTTTAAATTACAAACTGGAGCATCATAATCCATTAACCAGCTGAGTAATTACACCTGCATGTGAACAATAACAAAACTACCAAAAGTCAGAGGAATAAAGATGAGCCTGAAGAGCTGCTAGGAGAGGAAGAAAATGAAAATAAAGGGAGTTTTTAGCCAAGTTCTCTGCAGTTTACACTGAGTTTCTAAGGGCAGGGCAAAGGCTGCTCCCAAGGGCAGGGGCTCCTCCACTGCTGGCTCACCTGAACCTTCAGCACAAGAACCTCGTTTCTAAGGGCAGGGCAAGGCTGCTCCCAAGGGCAGGGGCTGCCCTGGCAGGGCTGTCCCTCCACTGCTGGCTCACCTGAACCTTCAGCACAAGAACCTCTCTAAACCCACTTTTACAGCACTCAAGGAGGAAATCTGGAAACTTTTTAAAGTTTCAGCTGCTCATCACCAGCCCCAAATGCAACTCAGAAACCAACCCTGCAACTTCCTCCTGCAGCACCATGGGGCTTTGGGAAGGACTAATGAATTTGGCTCTGCTTAACCTTAATAATCTCAATTGGGCTGTGTTGGATTTTCAGATTCCTTTTCCAAATCAGCAGGTTCACTTTTGATTGTTTTAAATGGTTTCCTAGTGGAAGTAATTCTGTTTCAGCAGGTGTAGCACCAGAACTCACTTTCTTTTTTTTTTCATTAGATATGACTTAGAATTAAATATGATTAATATTCTGGTTTTTTAACAGCAAACCTCCTCTTCTATTTCTCACAAAAGAAACATGGCCTGCCTTGCCACAGTGAAACACTGATTTTATTTTATTTTCAGATGACTGAAATTCAGTCCAGCTTGTACAAAATTTAAAAGAGCTGCTGCAGAGTAATATTTCGAAAACCCTTTAGTAAAAAAAAAAAAATCTTGATTAAGCAAAATCAGGTAAAAAAAAATAAATACATTCCTTGACTTGAGCAGTGAGGTTGATTTTGTGTTTGATCTCCACATTCACATAAGAGGCACCACGGAGCATGCAAATAATGCAAGATATTATCATCAACATAAAAGGAATTACCTGTAGCTACCAGGTAGATTAAGTACAATCAAATAAAAGAATTCATTTTTTTAGCTGAAAGATTTGTTTTATTCCAGCTAAGAAAATTGCTTTAAAAATCTTGATTAAGCAAAATCATTCCTTGACTTGAGCAGTGAGGTTGATTTTGTGTTTGATCTCCACATTCACATAAGAGGCACCACGGAGCATGCAAATAATGCAAGATATTATCATCAACATAAAAGGAATTACCTGTAGCTACCAGGTAGATTAAGTACAATCAAATAAAAGAATTCATTTTTTTAGCTGAAAGATTTGTTTTATTCCAGCTAAGAAAATTGCTTGTAACAATGAAAGAAAATCTGAAGGAAACAGATTGAACTTAGATGAAGCTCTTGGAAAGTGTCCCTAAATCTGACAAGCTTCCACACTGAATAAAAAATCATGTTTATGACTTAAAACCCTGAGACAATCCTCCACAACCAAATGAGAACAACAAAATTTAAATGCTTTTAATTTTGTTTTCTGTTCCTTTCATCTGACAATGATAAATTCAGGTGGAGCAGAGGTGTTTGAAGGGAGGAGGGAATTTTAGGAGTAGAGGAATTAATTGCCAGACCTCATCAAAACCTAAAGTCTTTGAGAGGATGGAGGAAATTCTGAATTGATTTTTGAGTTGTTAATTGTTGAGATTCAACATAGCCTCTCTAAAGCCCCAGGGGACCCTCTAGCCCAGGTGAGAAGTCAATCAGACCATCAGAATTTCCCAAAATTTTGCCTTTGCGTTTTACACTCCACAGAAAGGATATGGGATAAAAGTGCTACATAAATAAATGCACATATTCTTTTTCTAGGAATAAATGCTAGCAAAAAAACACCTGCCTGCTTCTTACAAGAGCAAGATTTCTGAGCAGATTTTTTTTTTAAAAAATATGAAAAACAGGATTTTAAAATGCAACCTCTGCCCTTTACAACATGACCCAGCTGTCAGGAAACATTTTCTTGAATTATGTGGTGTTCTTGCTTCCAAACTGTTTTAGATGTGTTCCTTTTGATAGGAAAAAAAAATAAATAAAGGAAACCTGCATCTCCATTGGTTTGAGTCCGTCTAATATTTTCTTATATACTTACAAAAAACAATGGGGTTTTTTATTTTTTTTTCTGCTGTTATGGTTTTCTAGAAATTACAGAAAGACTCACATGGATTTACAGAAAGAAACTTTATGTATTTATAGGGGAAAAAGACACAAACTTCTTAAGTCTATATTTGGATTATCTGTCCTTATTGCAGTGTAAAGTGACCCAGTATTGACCTTGCAGATAAGAGAAAATAAGAATTATTAATAAAATACATTATATTAATATACCTAAGTAGGAAAATTGAGTTTAAAGAAACTAATATTTATTTTAAAAGTTCAAATAAGCTTGAAAAATTCATGTTGAGTTATAAGATTGCTGTTCTGCTTTCACAGAGAGCACGTGGCCTTCAATGTTAAAAAATCTGCCTGAGCTTTTACTGAAATGCACAGAGTGAAAAGCAGCACAAAAGAGTTGCTAACATGCAGATGTGATTTGTGGCAGGGTTTTATTCCAAGACAGCAAAGTGTGATGTTCTCATCTTAAATTACCTTTAACAGAGGCCCTATCTGTCAGAAAGCCCAAATGCAGAGGTAAACAAGTTTAAAACATGGAGCTCTCTTCTCCCACACTTCTGAGGTGTGCCCTGGCCAAAGTCTGACCCTCACAGGACACAAAATGTGCAGGGCTGGAAACTGAGACGCTGAAAACCTGCAAGTCAAGGATGCAAAGGGCTGGGACTCCTTTGGCACAGAAAAAGCAGATGGAGCCCTAAAGTGGATCAACTCATCCAAAAGGAGCTGGAGCTCCCCAGGAGAGGGAGAACCTGGCAGCACAGCCTCAAAGGAGGCTCAGAAACACAAAAGGGAACCAAGGGGACTTTTGTGCCCATAAAATGTCTGAAAGGACATTTCCAGAACCTTGTGGAAGGAGAACAGAACTTTAAAAAGCTTAAAACTGGGCCAGAAATAGATCAGCAAATCTGACGGAGAAGTTTTCTACAGGGGGGAGATGAAAGGAAGGAAAAAACCAATGGAAAGGAGGGTTCAGGAAGGAAAAAATAGGAAAGTTCTGCCAGCCATCACAGGCAGGGAGCCCAGCATCTGGATTTCCATCTCTGCAGGGACTGCGGGGCTCCAAACCTGCCCAGGAGCCTGGAGGGCTGAGCAAACACCCAGGCACTCACCTGGGCTGCCCTTCGAATCAAGAAAATTCAAAACCACACTGAGAAACCTCCTCTGCATGAGCAAAATTTAATTATATGGAAGAATTTAGAAGGAAAAAAATTAAAAAGGGAAGAAAGGCTTAGGCTATTAAAGGGAAAGTTAGAAAAAACTTGGGTGTGCTTGTGGTGAAAAGAAGGAGAGGAGGAGGCACAAGAAGAGGTTAAAGCACTTCAGGAACAGTGAGCAAGAGGCAGCATAAGGTAATAATCTGGTGGCTGCTATTAATCATTTCAATTTAGTGAAAGCTAGCAAGCAAGAAAGGGAATTAATAGAAGTCCACAAAAAGCCAGACAGCATCACCTGACAGCTTGCCAGGCTCATGTCCTGTTGGATCTGGAATGTTTTACACCATTTCAATGCACATTTCTCCTGATATCAACCAAACCTGGGCAGATACAGGAGGAAGCACAAGGGCTCAGTGCAGCTAAAAAGAATATCTGTTTAAA